CCTGCCAACGGTCACTCTGGGGGCGACGGCCTCCTGCCAGCCGCCCCTGCTCCTCATCTGCCGCCGAGAGGGCGCGGCCAAGGCCCGGCCACCGCCGAAAGAAGCCAATCGTTGTCGTCTCTCGGAGCTCCCGGGCAGCCGCGTGGATCCCAGCTTCCCAGGGCGCCAGGAGGGCAGCGGGACCGCGCTGCTCGGTACTGCCACAGCCCAGGCCACCGTCGCTGACCTTCATGAGGATCTGCTCACGGGGGGCGGCCGTGACCCCCAGAAGGGCGCTGACGAAGGCGACCACTCCATCATCCACCCTGCGGCCCCACGCCGTCGTGAGCGGGAGCGCCCGCTGGATGTGGACGCAGGCGCCCCTCGACCAGATCCGCATCAACTGGAAGGCGTCAAAGGCCGACAGCCCATGCGTGCGGAGCGTCAGGAGCTCTCTGAAGTAGCGGTCCTGCTCCTGGAAGAAGGCCTCGGAGGGTAGACCCCACCGCCTTGAGCTTCTGGGCGCGGTACTGGGCGTACTCCGCAAACTCCGGCGGCAGGACAGCTTGGGGATCTGGGGACCAGATCTGGGTCTTGGACATCTTCAGCTTCATCCCGTGGGCTTCGACGCGGGCTCGCCAGGCATCCAAGCCGCGGAACACAGCGGCCGCGGTGCCCGCGAAGTACGCGTCGTCCAAGAAGGCCAGGCAATCCCCTTCAGCGTCCACCGCTCGCGCGGCCATGCAAACGATGCTGAGCACATCCGCGGCGCCGACCGCGTAAAAGCCTGGACTCATCGGGCAGCCCTGGTCGAGGCCGCGGATCTGGTCGACCAGCTGGGCGGGTTGAGACCCACCCCCCGCCGCGCGGCGTGTGCGAGCAGGGAGCCAGGCCTCCGCCAGCGGCGCCAGGGCGGGCACCTTGGCGCGCACGGCCTCCTTCACCAGGTCGCGGGGGATGTTGCTGAACGCATCCCCGAGGTTCACTGCCACCACCCACTTGCATAGGCTCGAGTTGGCCATCGCGCATAGACGTCGATGGAGGGCACCACATCCGCCCTTGGCAAGGCCAAACTGTTGGTCCCCCACCGCCGCCCGCATGTCTTTGTGGTGGACCTTGGCGGCGCTGCGGCCCACCATACGGCGGGTGACATTTCCACAGCGCAGGACTCGCACATCCCCAGGGGTTGCCTTGGAGATGCCTGTGAGGCGCGCCGCCGTCAGGGCGGCTAGAGCCTCGGAAGGAAGGTCACCGATGGCCAGGCGCGCCAGCGTGTTGGCCACCGCCTCTGCCCCATCCTCGTCGTACTTGAGCGGGGCCCAGTGCTGGTAGCGTCCTCCTCCAGGCCCCGCCCCGCCGCGGCGGGGGGAGCGGCCAAACTGACGCTTGAGGTGGTTGGCCACGCGGCGATGGAGCTCTGCCGCACCGTCGAGCTCGTGAGGGGGCGCGGCCGGCGGCATCGCCACATCGGCCCCCGCCACTGCGGGCCCCCCCCCTGGCCCATGCGGGGCGGCCCCAATGCCAGGGGGAGGGCCCCCGTCGCCTGGGCGAGGCGCCGCAGGCTGCTGGGTGGTGCTGAACTTCCTCACCACCGCCGCTGCATCCGCCATGTCACCCTGGGGCCACACTGCCGCTGCCGCTCGAGACATCTCGCCAGCTCGTGCCAGCTCGGTGACACGGCGCGCACGGGCCGCGACGTGATCCTCGCGGCCCTTCGTGGCGACCGCGGTGCGCGTCTGGTCCTCCATGGAGAGCCAGGCGACATCCCGCTGGCCGTCCTGAATCCACTGCAAACGCTCCTGGAGACGCTCACGCCGTGTCGTCGGAGTCGGGGTCGCATTTTCGCTGAACAGCAACCCATCCAACGATAAGAATACCTTCCACAGCCGCGTCAACGTGCGTGACGCCTGATCATCGTTGCCCTGGCGGGCCTGCTCGATCGCCAAGCACAGCCGCACCTTCGCGTGGCTGACGGCGGCCGCCATGCTGTCGGGGATCATGGCCGTGGTGGGCGCGCCCTGCAGCAGGATGCGGCCCCACCCGATGGCATCCCGCCAATCCAGATTGACAAAGCCAACCTCGCGGTACGCGTCCTCGTCCGTCACCTGATCGTCCAGGCAGTCGTCGTAGACGCCTGCTTCAAGTCCGCCGTCATCGTCCGCATCCGCGGGAGCGTCGAGCGGCGGCTGCAGGATGTCCGCCGTGGTCGGGCCGCCGCCTCGGCTGCCACAAGGGGGGTCCCTCGTGAGCCTGGGCCATGCGCCCCTGGCGCGGCGGCGGCAGGGGGCCTCGGGGCGGCCCCAGTGCCCCATGCCGCGCCATCTCCCCGGGAGGGAGGAGTGGGGGCCTGGCCCTCAACCGTTTCCAGCAGGGGCAAGATGGGACCACCTCGGGCCTCCAGGGCTGCCGTGAGGCGTTCCCTGTCGCCCTCGGGGAGCTGCGTGAAGCCTGCCATCGCCGTCGCTGGTGGTAGGGGGCCATCGACGCAGGCCATGTGGAACCACTTCTTGCCCGCGTGAGC